TGGTGGGTTAATGTGGTGATCTTACTGGTCTTTTCCAGCCTCAATGATTCTGTGATTCTATGATGCTATGACAGAGCACGTCCCCAGAAAGATGCTTTCCCATTCATTAAAAGCAGTCTGGACTATACAGTGTCAGTTCCTTTGAGAAGTAGCCAGCAGAGTGAGCATCGCATGTCTCAGACAAGGTGCAGTGGATAAAAGAAGCTGTTTCTTCTGTCTTGAACTACTAGACACAGTCCACAAATAACTATTATTGTAGGCATGTCCCCTGCTGTCTGGATACTTCGAGGAAACGTGTCTGTATAAACCAGTACTTATAGAAAACACAAGCCATGGAAATGGGTACTGGTCTCTATTAATAAAATATTTCCAATTTTGATTCAGAGAAGCCCGATGTTTATCAAAACTGACCATAAAATACACGCTGGCATTGCTAAACAGATGCAATAATTTGCAATGGGGATGCAAATCTGCAGCGGAGCGTGAAAGCAGACATTTCCTAGAGCATTTCACAAAACACACAGGAGCAAAGTTCCAAGCCTGATTATGTATGTGTTAATCTGATCAAAATAAAACCCGTGTCCTGTCAGCAGATGTGGAGTGTCAGTGCCAGAGGTGCAGACTGGGAGTCATCCTGAGTCACCCCTCAGAGGGGCACACATCTAAAGAAGCCTGCAGCCTCGGTGAAGGCTGAGCTCTACGGCCTCAGCAGCTGGGAAGTAAATTAACAGGAATGCCTGAAAGTCATGGAAATATCAGAAAGGGGAAGCAGTGATGTAAATATCACTGTTACAAAGAGATGGTAAATGGAATGGTGAAGTGAAGCCTGTAATTAGGATAGCTTCCGAAGAGGAATCAAATACAGGAGGTGTCCCAAGAAATGCCACAGAACTGCTCCCTGCGACACCGCGGGCGGGTTGTTCTTTATCTGACTAAAAAGCCTCAGTACTCAGACAGTTTGTTCCCACTTCCCTGAAACAGCTTCCACAATTACAGTGTGACGGAGCGACGGTCCCTAACCGCACAGCACGGGGCTCTGCCACCGTCACTGCTAGCAGAGCAGGCGCAGTGCTAAGGCTGAAGCGCTCTGCAGTGATGTCTGAGCAAGCTCTCTGCTGAAGCCCAACAGGCTGGGGGGCAAGGATGTCAAGGCAATGAAAGCGTCTGCTAAAATAAAGGGGATGAAGACCACAGTGCCGCTTCGTGTGCATGAGAAGGCTGTACCTGAGTGAAGCAGATCTGACAATGGATGCTCCTTCTTGTGCCCCAGCAGAGCCCAGCACCCAGCGCTGTGCCCAGCGCTCACCCTGGGACACGCTGCCCTCCCCAGCACTTGCTGTGTTTGAATGTCACCACTGAGGCAGCAGAAACAGGACATCCTGCAGTCCAAGGGGAACCCAAATCTTTGTAGAGAGCAAATGTAGACTTGGGGCTCTTCTGTGAGCGGACATGAGATCTTTGTGAGCGTTACTGATTAATGCTGCTGCTGGCACGAGCTGCTCTGTGTGCCCCAGCTGATGAGCATGAGCACTGCTGCCGAGTTGGCTGATAAACAGAAATGGGCAGGAAAAGCTTTATGGTTTTGAAAGAGGCAACAGAAACTCAGTGCTGAAAGGCACAGACATAGGCTGCAGTAACAGGCAGGCTGGAGTGTGAGAGCAGATTTTCCTCTTAGGGTTAAACACCTGCTTTTAGCAGCAGAGAAATCAATGGCACAAGAGGGATCCATCTGATGGCCAACGCTGCAAACCCCTCTGTTCAGCTTTCCTCATTCCCTGCATTTACTGCCTGCAGCCCGCAGCTCCTCCAGCTCCAGCACACTCCTTGGTTCTGGGAAATGGACCAATTTTCATCCAAGACTGGGCGGGAGACTCACTAAGGGGACACATTCAATTTGTGAAGGGGCTCTGGGGAGAGGAGGAGGGAGAAAGCAGCTCTTTGCTCGCCGTGCCACATTATCAGTTGGTAATATTAAAAATAAACTGGATGACAGCAAACTGATGCCTAAGGAGCAATCCACCTGCTGACCAAACATCCACCACAGCTCACACCCACCGCCATTCATGGGCACCATTAATATTTATAAGGATGGTGTGTCTCTTTGACAAGAACTTTTGCCTCCAACGACAACAGATGTTACACTGCTTACAAAAGAAGCTACTCGAGCATTCCCAAAGGATGCTGCCCATGCTCATCACGTCTGCATCCCGGGCTCTGATGATACTATTCACAGAGGCTGGATGACCTACTGAAAGCTCAGATCATGTCATTCTCAAGCCCAAAAACAAGGATGGCCACACATTTGGCTGTGGACTCCTCACAGTTTCTCAGAGTCGTGTTGGATCTCTGTGGATGTTCTTCTGGAGAGCTTTCAGATGCAACTGATGGCTCAAATGCACATGGCATCCCCACCTCATGGGGATGGGCCTCACCTGGGCCACAGAGCACACAGTGCAGGGCCAAGGCTGCAGGATTGTCTTCCACTGCTGTCCCAGCCACTGCTGTCACAGGTACATTAGTGACTGCATATGATCTACAAAGACTTACAAACCATCATTGTGTGCTGTGTTACTGCACTCTGCACACAAACCAGCAGAATAACGCGTGCTGCAAAGCTCTGATCTCATCCGTCTCTGCTAAAACATCTTGCTCTTCGGCTGAGCTATGAGTGCTATGACATGAGGGAGCTGCAGTTCCTGGCAGGACTCAGCTTTAGCTGAAGTGAAACTCCCATCCTCCATGCAGGAGGAATGCACGCAGTGATATGGGCTTAACCTGTGCAGAGCCGTATGGATAAGCTGAGAGTTTTGCCAAAACATCCTTCAGGAACCACAGTGCATGGGCAAGCAGTGAAGCATTAGACAAAGTATGTAAGGGACATTTGCTTTTACAAGATTGCAGTTGACATTTGCATTAAAATGCATGAGGTTATCATGAATCGTTTCACCTGCTGTGATGGAGCTCATTTAAAGTGGCACAAATCTGTCACATTAGCCTTGTGGGCCGGAGCAGGGAACCTGCACTGAGCTTTTCCTCCAGAACCACAGCTCTTCTAGTGCCCTGATATTTATTTATGATACATCTTTAATGTACAGCACAAGTGACACCAGTATTTGTCAGCCCATTTCACCTGCAGCTTTCCAAACAGTACACAGAAAGACAGGCTCCAGAGCCAGAGCTGGCACCTTGTGCAGCTCATTGCTGTTGGTTCAGGCAGTCAGAACACAAACGGGATGTTACAGCCATGGAGCACATGCTCTGTGCCCAAGCTCTGCTAGCAGACCACCACCAGTGTGCTGCACATTGGATCCTAAAACCATCAGTAGGGGTGAGATGCATCCCCTTGGGTTTGTTCTTGCTCTGTGCAATCAGTGTGCATGTAACTTTTCTACTCATTTTATAATAACGTGCATGTGCCTGTTTCAGCATCATGCCCCATGTGCATCGAGCTCGTAGGAACCTCAGGAACATGTTTAACCACACATTCACAGCTACGACCCAATTTTGCTCCTGTATATAGCGCAATGAAATGTATCACCTATAGAGCAACCTGCCAAAATCCAAGCACCATTTCCTTAAAACACAAGGGAAAAACAAGGACCACCAGCAGCAGTACAGCTCTGGCAGTAAGGGCTGATGGCTGGGACACAGCATGGGGCGGCTTGGACACAGGGTGGCCCCATCCTGATGGCTGTGCTGCTGGAGACAGCATGGAACAAATCCATCCCATGGCACGTACACACGAACCATCCCACGGTCTGACAGTGGTAGGATGAGAGGGAAAGGCTTTAAACTAACAGAGGGGAGATTTAGGTTAGATGTGAGGAAGAAATTCTTCACCCCGAGGGCGGTGAAGCCCTCACTCTGCTGCCCAGAGAAGCGCGGGCGCCCCATACCCGGTGTTCGGGGCTGGGTCGGACGGGGCCCCGTGCAGCACAAGCTGGTGCTGCGCACCCAGCCCGCGGCCGAAGCCAGAAGGACCGGCTGTAAGGCGCCTTCCAACCCAAGCCATTCTGTGCCTCGGATAAGGGGAGCCATAGGAGCCCCACCTCCAGCGGGGTCAGCCCGCGGGCCCGCACTGCCGAGCGCGCAGTTATGCTGCACACGTCGGGGAGGCGGCCGGGCGCGCGGGGCCGCTTCCAGCGGGGGATGCGTCTCGCGTTCCCTCGGGCGGTAAAAATATGACACACATTAGCGAGGAGAATGAAAAGAGGGAAACAAAGGAGCGAGAGCGAACACCTGTCGCTCTCCTCGGGGAAGAGACCCGATGCTTTTATTCGGTTCGGTCTGTTGGGGGAACTGCAGCTGCCAACTGTCATCAGCATCAAGTTACGGCACAAAGCCGGGGCCTCGGCCGGCGCTGGGGAGCGGCGGGGGGACGACGCGTCCCGGCTACGGACGGGGCCGCGGCCGCCATCCCGGCACGCACGGCCGGCGGGGCACGGCGGGGCTCGGAGCGGCGCGCCTCGGGCTGCGGAGCAGCGGCTGCGCCACGGGCGGCTTCGGTCGGGCGAAGACAAAGGGCTCGGAGAGCCGAGCAGCCGGCAGCCTCCGGCCGCGGGGACCGCCGCCCGAAGCGGGCGTTCCGCAATTCCGCTCCCGCAGGGGCACGGCCGTGGCGGGGGGACACCCAGCTCGGACGGCGGCCGGGGGGCTCCCGAAGGGGCGTCCGCGCGGCCCGAGGCCGCCGTAAGCACGCAACACCCGGCCGGAGCGGCCCCCGGCGGGGCTGGGGCCGTGCAGGGAGGGGCCGAGAGCGCAGCCCGCCGCGGGAGCCCCGGGCACCGCAGCGCGGCCCCGCACGGCCCCGCACAACGCGGCACAACGCGACGCAGCGCCCGCCCGCCCGCGCGGCCCCGCAGCAGACAAAGCGCGCGGCCGCCATTGGGCCGTTCGGCCCACGCTCCGGCGCTGCCCGCGCGGCGCGGCCAATGGGCTGCCGGCGATGCAAAGCGGCCGCTATAAGACGGGCGGCGCGGGGCGGGGAGCGGCGCGGGGCCGCGGAGCAGCGCGGCGGGGATGGCGCCGTCCTTCCGGCACGGCAAGGGCCGCGCGCCCAGGGGCGGCTCGGGCGGCGCGGAGCCGCGCGCGGACAGGAGGGTGAGCGGCGGGCGCGGCGCGGAGCGGGGCGGACGGGGCGCGCGTGCTGACGGCGCCGTGTGCCCGCAGGCGCGGAAGCCGCTGGTGGAGAAGAAGCGGAGGGCGCGGATCAACGAGAGCCTGCGGGAGCTGCGGCGGCTGCTGGCCGGCGGCGAGGTGAGGAGCGGGGCCGGCGGGAGGGCGGCGGCGGGGGCCGATATCGGCGCTGACGGCCGCGGCGCCTCCCGGGGCGGTTCCAGGCGAAGCTGGAGAACGCGGAGGTGCTGGAGCTGACGGTGCGGCGGGTGCAGGCCGTGCTGGAGCGCCGCGCGCTCGGTGAGTGCCGCGGGCCGGGGGGAGGAGGAGGAGGGGCCCGGCCGCACCGCGCCTCACCCCGCTCCGTCTGTCTGTCTGCGTGTCTGTGTGTCTGTCCGTCTCTCCCGGGCCGCAGAGGGCGGGCGGCTGCACCGCGAGGCCAGCGAGCGCTTCGCCGCCGGCTACATCCAGTGCATGCACGAGGTGCACACCTTCGTCTCCGGCTGCCCCGGCATCGACGCCACCACGGCGGCCGAGCTGCTGAACCACCTGCTGGAGTCCATGCCGCTCAACGAGGGCGGCCTGCGGGACTTGATGGCGGACGTTCTGGCCGAGCCTTGGCCGGGCGGCGAGGCCGCGCTCCCGCTGGCCGAGGCGGCCCTGGGCCCGGCGCTGCCCTCGCCGTCGTCCGGCGAAGAGACGTGCTCCGACTCGGACGAGGCGGAGGCCGAGCCGGGCCGGACCCCCGCCCTCGGACTGGAGGCGGCGCAGACGCGCGGCGTGCCCTCGCCCAAGTCCATGTGGAGGCCGTGGTAACGCTGCGAGCGGCGGGGCAGCGCCTCGGGATTGGAACGCGGCCCTCCTGTCACCCCCGCCGGGCTCACGGCTGAACGAGAGCCGTCGCGGCGCGTGGACGGCGTGCGTGCGCGGCGGTTTGTAGCTGGGGGGCGTTTGTCTGAGAGTGGGGGGACGGGATGGGGAGGAGGGAGTTTTTTTAGTAGCGAAGCTCTTTGGATGCACAGCCGTGGTCTCTTAACCCTGCCTCATCCTCTTGGCCCCTATAAGTGGCCCAGATAACGCTCACTACCTTGTTCTCTTAAGAAGAAGCCCTCGTGTGGTTTAGATCCTGACGGGTAGCTCCGTGAGAGGCTCAATCTGCACGGACCCCTGAAAGGGACTCACGGAGCAGCTGTGCGTGGCAGCAGCCCAGCTCTTGCCTTCAGGGAAGGAAGAGCAGCAGGAGCTGCTGGAGCTCTGCAACCATCCAGGACTGATGGCGGGGTGCCTTTAGAAATGAGCATCTTGATTCACGTTTTGCTTTTAGCACATTTGAGTTCATTGTGACTTTATGTATATTAGGGTATCAAATCAAGTGGTTTTTTTTATTTTTAATCTTTAATAAAAAAAAACTGAATTCGCAGTGATTTCATGGATTTTTTTGCATTGTGCTGCATCTTAACCAGGAACGAAAGTATTTCTGTGTCTGGGGAGCAGTGCTGCTAATTAATCACTTAGTTCACATACTGAGCATTGTTAGCTTAAGTATTGGAGTTGATGTTACTGCACTGAGTGGCACACAGTGATCTGTGCCCCAGCTGCACATTACTTGCTCCCTTCTCACAGCAGTGTTGGTGCAGCTGCAGTCCTGATTCCAGAGGCATTGGACACATTGGTTTTGTTTTCGAATGCAGGGTTGGTTGGAGCATGTAGAGGATGGGGAAAGTATTTCTGAAGAGGGGAAAAAATAGCTTTAAGGGAGTAGACTTCAGCACTGCTCTACATGAGATCTGATCCCTTTTACGTCCCTGCTGGGAGATGCCAGGTTATTTGTCCTGCAATACCACCTTCCAGAGAGCTGGCACTCTAAGGCGAGAAACAAAAACAATTGTTAAGTTTCTTAATACATGGAAGTTCCCAAACATAGAACAACCAAGAAAGGAAGCAACCTAACCACCAGGGGATGAGACCTGTAACTTCCCTTTGTTAACAACCCTATGGAACAATGAAAATGGAAAACAAGTACCAGTAGACTGCTCCTTATTTAATGTTACCTGGGGGGGCAGGTTCTTATTCGAGATTACCATCAGATTCAGCACAAAAGCAGAACAACTCATTTCCCTTTGAACTGGGAGAGAAGGGCAAGAACCAGCTCCCCAGGAGGCAGTGAGAGCTGCTGTAATGACCTCTGCTTTAGGGAGGGAGGCCAGCATTTGAAGTGTAAATGAGGGGGGAACCTGGGACACTTGCACTAATAGTAACAGCCTATGCACAAAATGACCCCTTGGACTGAGCCTGCCCCACTCCAGACCCAGAGCAAGGTCACTTTTTCCAAACAGCTATTACAGAGCCTGATGCCTTAGTTTTTGCTCACCTAGCCAAGATAACAACATCTCCTCAGAATGTGCTACGCATTGCCCTGCGTGATGCTGCTATGCTATGACAGAGCTTCACCTGCCACCCAGAAACTGCTTTTCTATTCAGTGCTCCAAAAAGGTGAGAGCTACAGCTCCCAAGGGCTGGCTAGGGCCAGGAGCCCTATGGAGCTGGGCAGCCTATGAAGGAGCATGGCACCATGCATAGCCCATCCTACAGCTGACGGCAGCAAGCCCAGCTGCACAGCAGAACTGCGCTGTAGCCCTGCCCTGGGCTCTCTGGGTTAAGGTTTGACATCCAAAGATGCTTCAGGGCCAGCTGCAGCTGTTGCAGGAATACCAGAGGCACTTGGCTCAGCTTCACTTCCATGAGATGAAAAGGGCTGGGTTAGGGCTCTTCTGTAACACTGCTGTGAGAGTAAGTGCAAATCCTGACACTTTGGTGACAGAAACACAGCAGAGAGTCAACATAAACTACCAGCTTTGATTCAGCAGCAAATCAGCAGGGCAAGCAGCAGTCATCACTGCTAAGCAGTGCTGCAGCCACAAGAGAGAACTTTGCACTGGAGAAGTGGAGCTGAAGCTGGCCTTATCCCCTTACCTGCTCTCTTTCTGATTCTTCTGCAAACTGCTGCAAATGTGGTTGCCCTTCCCACATCTGGGGACAACGTGTGGAGTGGTGCACCCAGTGCTTCCTGCATGTGAGCCATGGCAGAAGCAAAGGCTGCGCCCATCCTGCAAACCCCACTGCTGCAGAAGGAGCTCCACACGTGCTCCATGGCCTTCAGCCCAGGTACGGGGTCAGCTGCTTTCCAAAGGCCAGGAGGGGTAGGAAGGGCTGTGGCAGAAGGGCAGCACACCTTTCCCATGCACATTTCTCAGTCTGTCTTGGCTGAAAAGAAAGAGGCAGGTCAAAGCACTGCTCTTAGAGTTGTTTCATATTTTTTTTAACTGTCAAAAACATTTTAGAAATATGTTGGCAATAAAGCTTTTTTTTTTTTTTTACATTCACAAATTAGATTGACAGAAAGTTTACACCTTCTGATGAGGTGTTGCTGGTTTTATCCATTTGCATGTCTGTACCTTACTGCAAAGGTGTCGAATCTGACACTTGCCTGACAAAGGCAGGAAGGGGTGAGGTTCTGGGGTGGGACTGGGGAAGGAGGAGGGGAAGGAAGGGCTCCAGCAGCTTGGATGAAAAACCAGAAGCCTTTTCAAATCCTTCTTTACAGAAAGGACTGTCTTTATTTTCCACTCCAACAGACTATTGAACAGCCTATCTGATCTGACAGTGCACTGCATTGTAAAGGGAGAGAGGAGCAGCACACAAACAGAGGGACTCTCGTTTGATATGTGGTTGCAGAATAATTGAAAGAAGGGCTCTTTGCATGTCAGTCACTCGCACCTGTCACAGGGGAAAAGCGCTCCTTGTTAGCCAGGTCAGCAGGCAGGGCTGTTCAAACCCTCCCCAAAGCTGCTGGCAACACACACCGGGTGTTTGTTGGAGCCCTCAGCCAGGGTGCAAGCTCCAGCTTTCAGACTCTCCAACTCTAGACATCTTCCTTTGTCACCCACCAGCAAATATCACGTAGCACACCACAAAGTTTTCACCTGCAAAATAAAGTCTTTCTGTTTCTATTCCACTTGAGTGAAAAGAAATAAGAGTGTAGCCCAGCACCCAGCAGCACAGCTAGCAGAAGAGGCCAACTTGCACACAGACATCATGAGAGGGAAATTTCTGCTAAGCAGGCAATTTATTCCTGTCCATTACACTGGCAGCTTATGGTTTTTACCATCCCAAGATGCTGTCCTTAGTAAAACGTTACCGAAATAAATGATGGAAAAGTGGGATGTATTTCTGAGACGTGTGCTGGGATTTCATTAGTTAACACGGGCACCCACAGCCTCACCATGGCATGGTGAGCTGCCCACAGATAACACACCCAGAAGGAGATCCAGTCCCAGCATCCCCAGCTGTCAGAGCTCAGTTTTAGGACTCTCCCATTTACAGCCCCACCTCCAAGCATCAGCAGCAGGCACATGGGCACACACAAAGAGGTATCCAGCCCCAGCTGCTTTTCCTCCCCATGGGGGACATGGGAGCAGACACACAGGTTTTACAGATCTGGTGTTTAGCTTCTGGGACACGCAAAGACTTTTGCCCCAGCAGTTTTCCCTTCTCCCCACTGAGGAGAGCAGCTGGCTCACGCAGCACATCCCCTGCTGAGTTCTCCCCAGCAGCAACAGCTCAGGCTGTGCTCCCTCAGACCACCAAAACACAAACCAGTGCAGATGGGACCCAGGAGAACATCCTCCCGTCCCACAGATGGGCACAAATTTTTGAAGAAGGTCATGCAGGAAGCACACAGAAAACTCAAGGAACAAAGCAATCTGCCAAAACAGCCAGCCTAGCCTTCAGACCGTATCCTTCCTCCACTTCTTAGGACATATTTTCGTTTTCTTGCATGAGACCCCTGGTTCACAGTTGTGTTTATGCATTCACATACAGATGTCTTGAACTAGTGGTTACCTAAATTGATAGCATCACTAAGTTGTGCAAATTGAGCTCCTATATGAGCTAAAAGAAGAGGGAAAAAAATGTCGTTCTGCTTCCTTCTATGGGATTTTTAGCTTCCTGTGGAAGCTTAGCATTCAATTACTGTTTTCAGCAACTGTTAACCTCATTTCTGCATTTTAGTAAAGTTTAAAAAATATATCAAAACTGATGCAAAAACATTCAAGCATGAAAATAAACCTTATAGCTAAGTTAAGTTTAAAATGTTCTGCTAAACAAGATGATTGAAGGCAATTTGATTGGTCATACTGCATGCAGGATGGCATATTACACTCCTTCCAGCTGAGCTTCAAATGGCCTTTTAATCCAATGAAGCAGAGCCTTCAATGCTGAGAGCTAGGCAGTGAGTTCATATAGTCATTAAGGTTGGAAAAGACATCTAGCATCATCTGGTCCATCCATTCACACTCCACCAGTATTGCTCACTAAGCCACGTCCCTCAGTACCACACTTATTCCTTCCTTAGACACCTCCAGGGACGGTGACTCCACTGCCCTCCAGGACAGCCTGTGCCAGTGCCCCACTGCTCTTTCTCAGAATTCTTCCTAATATCCAACCTGAACCTCCCGTGGCACAACTTGAAGCTATTCCTCCTGTCCTTCCAAAGTAAATGCAAATTGCTTTGTTGAGAACTGAAAATACCTTATGAAGTACAGCATACCGACAACTAGATTAGATGATCCTGTCTGCTCTTGCATTTCGTAAGTACAAAACTACTTCAGTTTGTAGTCTTTTAGTTTTTACACTGAACTCAGACTCAAATTATAGACTGAAAGCACAGCAAGTGGTTTTTATCTGCAACTCAGAAAGCGCAGACCTGAGGCATCCTCCAGCATACTTCTGCAGGCAGCTCGGGAATCACCCTGAGTGAATTCCCCTCAGCTGAACTCTGCAAAAGCTCAGACCATTTAGGCAAAAGGTAAAGCAGCCTAATTTAAAATCACCACCACAAAGGTACACTTCAGAGTATCCCTAAAGGACGTGCCATTGAGAGCAAGGGGAGATGACCAGGAGCCCGTGTGCCCTCTTTGTTGTGTGCTTCAGGAAGGATTTTGGGGCCCTCTAAGCAAGCTTCACTGTGTTTCTGCATTTGGACCATCCATGAATGAGGCACACTAACAGAACTTCAGTTTCATTCTCCTTAAAATGACTTTGCCAGAACCAATATGGGCTACACAGGGTCACTACAAAATACTTTCTACTGTCACCATGCAAGTCTTTGCAGTCGACATCCCAGAGATAGAGAACGGGGAGGAAAATAACCACAAAAGACAGCATCCCCATTGTCAGCCCTGCCAAGCTTTTCCACCAGCTCAGAGAGGTGGTTTGCAGCACCTAGGGCCTGAAAAATCCCACAGATTTCCAAGAATTGGCCAAGATGCTTTTTGGTACTTGTGAGCAGCTTTTATAAAGCAAGTCTTCATTACACACAGCTGACCCCCAGTGGGGGTGGATTCAAACTATACATTGGCCCTTGAGCCATTCCAAAACAATGTACAAGAACCTCTTTCCCCCCAAAGAGGCTTGCTGAGTTGGAAGCTACATCTACATGCCTCTGGGCCTGGTCCAGATCTGTTCTGCCCTTCACAGAAGCCAATTAACTGGTCAGAAAACAGTGTAACTGAATCTCCCAGGCCGGGCAGAAGGTGCACATACCATCTTACAAAAATGCAGGTTCAGGAGCATATCTTCACTGAGAAGCTGCTACTCATAGCAGCTGCAAGTTTCCCCCTCATAAACCCTCCCATTGAATTAGGATTTTCTCAACACATGGACACACTTTCTCTGGGAAGTACACGATGGTGACCTAAGAGCAAACTTTGGGATGCCTGTACAGTGCACACAGGATGCTCTGTAGCTCCCAGAAAGTTTAATGTGAAGTGACATTACTTGAAAAACTCCTAAATGCACTTGTTTTCCAAGGTAAGCTTATGAGGCCCAAAAGGCACAATCAATCACTCCATCATACCTGCCCTGCCCTGTGCAAATGCGCAGCAGCAGCTGCCCAGAGCAGCACAGTTA